GTGAACACAAGATTTGTGAATTTACAATGATTTGTCCAATGTCGGATGCGAACGATCGTTTCCTTGAAGTTTGACTCAATGTTTCATTTCGATCGCTTAGAAGAAAAATGCTAGAAGGGTTTATTTGTGATATTCTGAATGGAAATTGGATTCCGGCAAGCATCAAGGTAGGATTTGGGTTTTCATCTTTTCTTTAGGCATACCTTTATTAAGCGGTTGGCGATTTTTTTAACGATTTTTAAATTGTTTTATAGGAAATTTACTAAAAAAGTAGGTGACACTCATCCGGATGGAAATGGAGAAAAGGGTCAGAACAAGTTCTGGAAGATCTCTCAGCCACAAAGTATTCAGTGTATGGTAACCATTAGACTGACAACAAACAACAAAACAGATTATTAAACAAAATATTTTTTTTTAGAATTAATTTATCCTTTAACGGAGAATTGGAAAATCACAAAGATTCTAAAATACTTAATCTTCGCGGATTTTGCAAAGTTCTCTTCTTTAAAACACAGAGAACGTTTATCTGGGTTTTGCTAAACTGAACGTGACAAAATCGTCGCAAATCGGTAGGCAAAGAAAGTTATGAGTTGCTTACAGACTTTTTCCACAAAGTTCGCGCAATCATCAGAACAAATAACTTGATTGATTACCACCATTTTTTTCAATTTTTAAATATCAACTTTTCTCAGGTTTCGAGCAGTTAGTGTAGCTGTTTGATAATTAGTGGTATAATGTAGAATTTAGATAAGGCATCTATTAAGCTAAAAAACATATTTGAAACTTAAACTTTGTAAAATCTTGCAACTTGATTGAAAACGCCAAGAGAAACTTATGCGTTTTCGTGAATATTGTTAATCCACTACATAAAGATTTTAAATTTTTAAATAGTCAAGCTTTCGCAGCGATGATTTGAACAGTCGGGAATTTTGGCGTTTTAGGCAGTGATCGATTGAAATTGCCGCCTTCGAAGAGAACACACCTCTGAAGATGTCAAGCATGCGTCCCAGCGAAACGTCAGGACTAATTTGCTATCGACGACGGTCTAAAAATGCGAAAATCACCAAATGCCTGTTACATTGAAACTCTTTGAGTTAGGGGACCAGAGCAACAAGTTTGCATCTAAAAGTTGCTTCGACCTATAAATAAACCCAATTTTTCAGAGGTAACATATTTTCCAAAGACCCAAAACAGCGAAGTGAAGAATTTTGATCAAATTTTGAAATCTTTACTTGACGAGACGTTAAAACATGAGCGCCTTTTTTTGTGGCAAGTGGTGTAAGTGTATTTTATTTAGTATGGATATATTTAAGGTTTCGAATTGTTTAAGTATTAAATTGATTTAGATTTATAATGTAATATTTTTGACGTCATTAACAAAAGTTTATAGTTTCAACACTGAAAGTGGTGCTTCAAAGTCAGGAAAAGCAAAAATCTTCATTTCACATAAATTGGACGTGAAA